GCGCTCACTTTTTATGTTTGTGACCTTGCTCTTCAAAAATAAATGATAATTGAAACTATAGTATATCAGCCTGCACATCAGCCTACTGACAGCTGGTTTGTTACACAGTCTCCACGGTAGTTTTGAGGCTGCCAGCGATAACCGTAGAAAGTGCTTTGCTGTAACGTGTTATCATAGGTCCAGAATACTGGTATCGCTGGCGTTGAAGTAGAGCTCCGGCTGACGTTATACCACTTCAGAAACTTGAGTGGAATTAAGATAATTAAAAAAACGTGCGGATTCTTCGTGATAGCCCTCCCTAAAGAACGTTTCCTTGGGCGAATCAGCGTGTACTTTTGTTAATTTCATGCGATGCAACAGCCCAATGCTAGTGGAGAGTTAAGCAAACTTTCGCACTTACCTGTATCATCTGGAACAACTTCAAGCAGAGAACTTGGTGTACCGTATCTTAATGATTTGATCTGCAACTGGACACCATAGGTGGCGCATTTTTCCCGTGGGAGCGTTACATGATGGGTAAAAGGCCGGTAGATTTGAAGTTTGCTGAAACCCGACCACACAGCAATGGTTGCTTCGGTCGCGGCAGTAGGTATCCCCACAGTAAAACTATCAGCAGTGCTGGTTACTTTTGGTATTGGTGACGACAACAAACCTGTGAAAAATGGAATGATAAACGAAGCGTGAGATAGAAGTAACTTCTGATAGGTTCATAGCTTGGACATGCTTATACGTCATAAGGTCCTTCTGGAATGCCCATACATCATCGAAAAATGGGTAGCTATCCGTCACCTGACTCATATTCCCGATTCAGCTAACGTAGCACGTTCTTTACTAGAAGTATTCAGCGTGGATTTGTTGTAGGCACATTCGGACGCCAGATATTTCTTGGCTTATGAAGCTACGATCCAGCAGCAGTCACAAGGCCCAAACTATCAATGAACGATGCAAATTTTGAGCCCCAGTGAAAACGCATTTGGGCAATTAACCAAACTGAACGTGGAAAAACAGCTATCTGAGCCACCTGATACTCACATTGGTCGATCAAAACATAAAAAATAACGTTTCACATAAACATTCACTCCTCCGTAGCCCCAAAAAACAAAATGAATGTATTTCCTCTCTCTAGCTCGAACTTCACTTCGTTTCGCGGGATACTGTTTCGCTTCAAAGTCGCCTGAGTCTTCCTACTATTACAAAAACCGATATTTGGAATTTCCAATGGGAATGTCAAAGACGGCAGGAACTTAGCCACATCCAGGCTAAATATCTAGTTTGATGCCAAGTATTGTTTCTAGTGCATACTGCATCAAGTTTGTTGTTGGCGGAGCTTCAAGCCAAGCAAAGCTAGGAAAAAGAGGATGTAGAAAAGTTGAGTGGCGACTTAGTGGTTTGTGCGGGAATTTTTTTCTCATCAAAGAAACCAGACTAACGTCGAGCGCAAACAGAAACCTAACGGCCTTCAGCTACACTACTGATTTATGAACCTTGGTTGGGGTACACCAAACCAAAAGCATAGCGCCTAAGTACGTTCAGGAAGCCTACTGAAACTGCGACTGTTTTTTCGCACCATGAGCTTTTTATTCGCTGGCATATGGTTCGGAATTAAAGAGGACTCAGAATACCAATAGCATGATGACGGGGATAATTTACCGTGCGGTCTGTGCGCTGATCACCACTGAGGAAGTCCACTGCACCAACAATAGTTGCGATATTCAGAACGCCAATTTTCTAATATTATGCTGTTTAATTTGCAGATATGTGATGTTTATGACATTCTCTACAGCCTCTGCTTCTTTCGACAGGTGGATTTACCATATGGATTAACTGCCACTCAATGCCAAAATGCTAATAATCTTCCCAGGAGTTTACTTAAAGTTTGTGCACCGGTTCAAAATGAAACAATTTTATGTTCATTCATTGAGAAGAGTGTTTTCGAAACTCAAGGTGCGATTTAAATGGTACCCTTTCTAAGAAGCTGGGGTTTTCACGATGCACAATAACCACATAAACTCGGGTATTTCGCGAGAATAAACCAGTGCAGGTATGCCCAGAAAAGTTCTCTGTGAATGCCAAACAAGTTGGCAAGGTAATCTGTGAGGGTGACCGTTTGGAGAAGCCTATTCAGATGGTCGTTGGCTTGTTCGCTGAGCTGGGCAATTTGATTGCAAACGTTTCATCACCAATCGAGGTGACATCATCGGTGCGTTATTGGGAGCACAACCACCAATACACCGCTACGCACAACTACGCTCCCAATAACGCACTGATGATGTTACCTCGATTGGTGATGAAACGTTTGCAATCAAATTGCCCAGCTCAGCGAACAAGCCAACGACCATCTACGCTACCTGAGCTACCGACATTTTCCTCTATAGAACGCCTATCCAGTAAATTCACATGTATGCCAAAATAACCTGCGAACACAATACAGACAAGTGTGGAAACATTCAATGAGTACGATAAACTTACGATCAACCAAAACTGTCAAAACGTTTTCTTCTAGATGGATATCTTCCGAAATTTCGAGTTCCAGCCTCTCCGAAGGGATATTTGACCGTGTAATAGTGAGTTTTTCTGGGCTTTGCCGTCCACATAGCTCAATCACTTTGGTATTTGTCGAAGCTGATAACTGAAGTTTCATAAGAGAAAAAGCGTTTTGGACTCAATGTATGGTTATCCAGACACAATTGAAACGTAAACCAATATGTAATTCATCAATTTCAGGATGAAACGATATTAAAGCACACTTCTTTTTTGCTGTCCACCAACCATCATAATTCCTTCAGTGCGAAAAGCGTCTTTGAAAATTACACATCAATCACTTGGTGAACTGGTCAACACCCAATCCTTTGGCAGCCACCTGAATAAAAGGCACTTGGTCCAATACGTCGAGACCAGACAGATAGAGTATTGCTGATTAGCAGCACATGTCTGCTTTCTGCATAGAAGACGATTCCAAAAAGTGACGAAACAACATCACGGCGCTTCTGTAGTTTTAAGTAAGCTTGACTTTGCCTCGGAGGACGAAGTCCAAAAAATATTGCAGGAAGGTTAGCAGCCTTGTGACGAAGACTGATATACATCAAATAAGTGCGTCAGTTTTACGTGGGCAAGCTCTGCTTCACCTTGATCATTTCTTTTTTCCAGTCTGCTCAACTTATCATCCATCTTGTTCATGACATCAGATTTTATACGATGTGAATTTTTTTTCAATTTCCTCTCACAAACGGTTTAAGGATAGGAACTCAGATAGATTTCGTGTATTCTTCTACTTTAAGGACGTTAACTACCTGATAGCTAAATACCTGATGGGGTTACATATGAATTTCTGGATGGCTTAGTCAAAGAAATACGCGGTGTCAGTGGAATCAGTTGACTGTAGCAATATAAATCACGCTAGCCCAGCTTTGATCACGGATCTTAGGAAGAATAATGTAAATTTTCCCGCCGAAAGCCATCTTCAGCCCCAGGTTTTGTATGCCTTATCAAAAGACTCAAACCTTAAGTGCCAAACGCGGCCTTCCGCTCATGCATCTGTCAAACGCATAGCATATGTTTCTAGTACTGCTGATATGCGTACACAGCATGAGATTGGACGACTCAAGTATCTACCGAAATGACCGATTAGCAAATATAGGTGTGGTTTGTCTTCACTCCAAATATTTTGTGTCAGACAATAAATATGTCCTTTGTGGGCCCTGAAAGAGTGGCTGAACTCTCTCCAATCGGTTTTGATATCCAATAAAAGCTGTATGCTTCAAAGCATTGTCGTGAAACTACGTTATATACCTTCCGGGAATTTGATCAGTAAATAGCAGATGGGCGGTGTGTCTCCCATACACTTGGCATCTCACCAGACTTTGTTCAACAACTGAAAAGTCAATTGGAGCGAACCGCTGTCAACTTTCCTGACTTTTGCTGGATGTTTTGGAGATACTTTGTCATTACTGACTCATTCTTTATACAGCGCGTCATATTCACCTGAGGATAAAGGTTTACGTGATACGTGAGGCTAAAGTAGACAAAACGTTGCGTTGGAAAGAACCTTGATACAAGATATATTTTTATTCGACGACGAATTCGCTGGTAGCTGGGGCTTTTATGGACGATCTTTATTTAGAGGCTACAGTGAGGATGAAAATAGGATAATTAGTAGGTTAACCATAGTAATAAACTCAGAACCAGGGTACCGGTATAAGGCCTATACTACTGGTGAAGCATGGAAGTAGTCTATGGACTGGTATCCCGGCTCCACATGCGCATCTGATGGAAGGTGAATATTACTACGGAAATGGTGGAACCGCTTTGCAGTGCTCGTTTACTATTATGTAATATTCAGGAAAATTCAAGAGGATGCGTGTGAATGTTCGGTTACTAAAGCCTACGTACATATGAGATGTTTACTTTAGTGTCTAACCGCTTGTGACTGTTTAGTTCGTGTTTGCCAATGTGTAAATTCGTAAAAAGGAGATTTTCATGCTACCTCGATAATATGCTGGAGATGTAAGTATATCAGCTACGTGTGACACTAATTCTGCTCAAGTATGATTTTGAATTTCTTTCCAAGCACACAAAAGCTCGAAAAAAATCACCCATGGAACATTCAGACTGCATCCAAAATGATTAGTGTGAATTTGAAAAGCAGTCATTATGTTGAAACTTCGGATAAAGGACCTAAGCTGCACTACAAGAAACATTCCAGGTATGTGGTACAGACGCATAAGTTTGAACGTTATTCACTTGAGCGTCTTCATGCACTTTTGATTGATCGATAAGAAGAGTTTAACCAGCCGTAATTAACAAAAGCAGGCTTCTGTATTCACTAGAACTTTTAACCAAAGTCCTGCTAATCAACCAAGAGTAGACGCAGACGCATCATATATCTCGAAAGGCGAATTTGTGGTACATGTGACTTATACGCTTCCACGATTTTATTCGACCTACAGCTGAAGACATGAAGAAGCAGTTCAATCTTTCATCCGTTCACACACAGTGTAAACACTTAATCTCCAAAGTAGCTTCGACTACTCTGCCCATCTCGATAGACAGCGTTACCCTCCTCTGTCCTGATATCATTTCCTTGCTTCGAAATTGCAGAAATTGGTAAGTAATCACTGAACGCGTATAACAAAGCTACGAAGAAAACTCATCTCAACAGTCCATCTCTAACAAAGTCTAAGTTCATTACCATGGGATGATTCTTACAAGCTGCCACAAAATTTTCGAGGATCACCCGTGTTTTCGAGTACAAGACTATCTTTAGTGTATATAAATAATTTCTCCTTAGTCCAAAGTGGAGAGTTTACACAGGAAACTAAGGTCACCCCTTGCGAGTATATTACTGTGGACAGTTGGTGTAAAAACGCAATGGAAGTGAAAAAGGACTATCCTGAGGTGCCGTCTCACGGAGGGAGATTTAACTGGCACTGTCTGATAAAGTCACATTAGTGCTTTTAATATTTTGTGGATGATATTTTACCCAGCGTCTCCCAACGCCTAGTTCCTACTAGTCGTCTTTCAGCTTTGTGGTCCAAATCGTTAGCACTCCACAAATTCTCATTGCTTTGGTTATTCTAATCCTCTGACTAATCGAAGTTCTTGCGCCGTCCTGATGTATTAGGCAACCCTCTCTTCTACCCACAAAGTGGAGGTATAAATTTATCAGTGTGTGGATGTCTGTGCAACCATTCCCTGAACACCACATGCTCATTCCGTGAGCTTAGATGGTAGGCTGCACCATCAATTATTGAAATCTACTTATTCCGAGTAGTTATAATGCCCACAAGATCCACGCACCCGAATCATAGACATGAAAGGTAGCCAATAATATTGATTTGACTTTTCGGGGCACGATAGAAACAAGTTAGCATGACTAGTATAGGATATGGTGACACCTGAATCAAACGCAGTTCATTTTTCTACTTTGTGTGCTTTTTGAAAGCAATTTGACTGTCACTAACTTTAATACACAAGTACCCAAACTGATGATCCCAAAGTTTGGGAAAGAAATAGCCTAATGGCACTGTCAGATTAATCTAGTGGGGACTAATGCCATCAGATTTAATAGGAAAGAACCTCCATTCGATAGGTTTTAACCTATGTTTTTGGTTTGATGTATTTACTTTGGAGTTTGACTTAGCTGAAGCATGAGTTGGCGTTTGGAAATTCGCAATCAGCTCCACATTACCAAAACTACATGCGAAGAAACCTGCTAAGTCATAGTTGACTACGTTGAATAGATAGAACTGCTTATGGAGGAAATTATGTGATTCAGAGAGTTTCTTACAAGAGGGGAAGATTCATTTTATTCATCTTGATTTAGTCCACATCACTCTGGATGTTGATCCCACCAGCTGTACCAGATAAACTAGGCAATACTCGCTGAATGCTACCAATGACGGTGAATTATTTTTAGTCTTGTAATGGAAACTGCAGTTAGCTGGCAGAAGGTTGAGCCCAAGGAATATGTGGATCAGCTCTCTTGGTACGCACTAAGGATGATAGCGATGGAAGAGTGTCTCTGGAAAAGCTGGCATCTAAAGTGCCTGCATCCCTGGCAGTCGAAGTCGACGCACGAACAGGTTTCATGTGTTCACAAAGGATTCTACTCACAAGGTTGCTGAAAACTCTTCGACAGCCCACGACCGGTTTCGTCCTTCTTGGGGCTCATCTATTCCTCGAGTACCGTCAACCCGATGTTCTACTTGTATTATCATGTGCACACGTGCTATGTGAAATTGCTGATGTGCGTTGCAATTACCGTCCTTGCGGATGAACATGTTTCTGGTTATGGCTCTTGTAACTGATATCGGCACTGGTGTCGGCACATGATGGGAATCCGTTTATAAACATTGAATCTAATATGAAACAAAACTTCACTCTGCCTGGCTCTCTTGGAGAACTATCTATCCCCAATATGCTGTAAAGGCTGTCTGGACAGTCTGCATTCATTAGGCCGACTTTTATCAAAAGGTACATAAAACTCAGTGTCAGGCTAAAAAGATCGGGGATACTGCTCCTCCACTCCAAGTGAGCTCATTCCTATCTCCAGTGTATGTTATTACCAATAAGTAAGATAGCCGTGTGTGTTTTACGCAACTGTAATATCCACCTGTCTATGTTAAACTTCATAAGAAAGCACTCTTATGCTTCCTCAGCTTGTCCTCTCAGTCTGATTGTGAAGAGATGTTTACAAAAAAGTCGTTTGGCCATTTGATTCCTTTGATTTCGTACCAAAGCTATCACCTTGTATGTTCTATGTGTTTATAGACATACCGTGGTCTTTCAAGTAGTTTCGAAAAAAGAAACCTCCTACACCCAAGAATGTCCTGTCACTGAAATGCAGTTTAAGGGAGTAATACCGGTGGCCTGGTGTTGAAATTCCACCAGCTGAACGGACTTATATGTATAGTCTGCAGTGCATGCGTTTCTACATTAATACAACGCCTTGTTGCCATTGACGGTGCTTCAAAATACATACACTCGTATTCGAAACAAAAAGACAAAACAAATCGGAGGAGAGCGGTGAACGAGAGAAACTGTCCGAGATCAAGTCTGGGTGAAACGATGTAAAACATGTTGATGGTTCTTTCCTCACCGGTTGTAGTACGACTCTTGCAAATTGCATTGTTTTTTTCGTGG